TGAAACTCTTAAAATCTAATAACCATGCACACGATTGCTTATTGTACTACTTTATTGTGAGAATGAACACAAGCTTTAATTTAAACAATTTAAATTGATATTTGTACAGAAGTTCAAATAATTTTTCATGTAGTCATTCCTGAAAAAGTAAATTTAAATGATTGAGATTTTACCCAAATATAATTAGATTGAAGGCCTTTTTAATTAATGAGTTCATATTAGTATCTTACATAATATTGGCTAAAGAAGAAAATTAGGACTCACGAAGGTGTATCAGAGGTTCGTTGGTCTTCTTTGTTATTTTATTTGACCTTATTTACAAGATAAAATATATCAGTGCTTAATAAACATAAACATGGATTTTAAAACAAACTAATAGACAAGCCCTAAATAAACTAGTAATAATTTTGGACTCAAAATTCAAAAGTTTCTCTTTTTATCACCTAGAGGGCCTTCATTAGAATCAAAATTATAGTTGATTGCTTTTTGGTCTCTCTTGCCTTCACTCGCATCAACATTCTCTTGTTATTCTTCATGATCTTCAATTGTAGTTATCTTCCCCTTCCCTAATTAATAAAAGTCAATAGGGATGATTATTGTTTTTTATAATTTCTATTACATATAATTTATGCTAACATTTCTTGGTTCCTTTCCTGCCGATTTTTACTTTCTCATTCCTTCATTAAAAAAAAATTAGCATTTTGATATTTTTCTTATGATTGCATTGGTTAAGCGGTATTTTCATCATCCATAATATTTTTGCATTTGCGAGCACATCATCAATAAACAAAGTTCATTGTCCTCCAAAAATTTCATATAATTGATGAAATAGAGTTGTATGCCCCATTACATGCGCCTCAAGGCATAGCCTGAAGTGGGCGAGGTGTACACCTCGTCGCCCACTGTTAGGCATAAGCTTTAAGGTGCATTGCATGCACCTTACTGTGAGATGGGTTCCAAATTGCTACGTTTTAAATGCAAGAATCAACAATAGAAACATCATAACCATAGAAATAAAACAAATCTCTTAAAGATATACAAATTTTTCTTAAAGTTATATCAAAATGCAAGTCCTAAAAAATAATTTGATTATTGTATAACACGTTTAAAAGAGATGTGCTAGGTAAATTAAAGTACCTTATAGGAAAAAAGAGTTGAAAGAAAGGGCGATATTAATTTATGCCTTTACATGAACTTGAAAGCATTAAAGAATACACTTTTTGATTCCTTGACATAACACTCATCCAATGATTAGGCCAGCAAAACAATCATTTTTTGTTTTAGAAATTTTCTTTAAGTTGGAAATAAATGATATCGCATCAGTTCAACTTCATGTTCTGAGCTTATTTGATTTATGAAATAGATTCTAGAAAAGTTAAGTTCTTGTTTTAGTTTTTTAAAAAACTTGTTTCTTTTTTTTTTCAAATGTAAAACAACTAAATATGTTGAATAATAAAATAAACTGTAAATATTAAATCCTAAAACAATTTCCAATTATTCACATATTAATCCCGGAATATTACATTTCTCCAATTTAGTTCATCAACCATACAAAATTGGTCCAAATAATCTTTGTGTAGAAATTGTGACTCAAATTGATCCCAATTTAATATCTTGATTATATTAAATTGATCCCAATTTAATTTCTGAGAGACCATTTTAGTTTAATTTATATAGTTGAGGGACAAGTTAGATAAATGTGATATTTGAGATTAAATTGGCTACATTTAAATAGATGGGGGATGTATTAAACCAATTCTAATTTGTTCTATTGCTTAAAAATATGCCGCCCAAATTAAATCAATAAGAAAATAAAGAATTAGATAAAACATGTTAAAAGTAATAATAATCTTAAATTTTGTTAATATTTTCTTTCATGCGATTAAAGATCTGCATAATTTCTTCAACGTTTATATTTTGAACGTGAATAAAAAACTGCAAAATTCGAATTTTGATAAGAATTTAGGTAAATAGTAGGAAGAATTGAATGTTAGGGAATCCCCAAAAAATTATGTTCATTTGTATTTTGTCTAATGACAGTGTTGCCATGAGAAAATTTCATGCCAGGGTTTCCATCATAAGTGGAAGGATGCTTGCAATTACCGTGCTGACAAAAGGCTCAACAATGATTTTCATCGGATTCTAAAAGCAGACTGTGTTCTTGTTTCAAAGGAAAAAGTGGGTCAGAAGATGAAAAATAGATGGAGGAGCTATTTGGTTTGTTTGCTTGGTGATACAAGCTATTTTGCTGTCGAGTCCTCTCATTTATCTGTCTGGGGATGTGGTTTTCAGATGGGATGATATTATTTGATTGAAGTTTTAGGCTGTCATGCTATGATTTGGTATAACTAGCTCTCTTAGTTTTCTCGACAAGCTTTTGATTGCTGGAATAATTGTTTTGGATCATTCTTGTGGTTGATTTTATTGTTTCTCATGTGATTGGTAAAGATGAAAAGGCCTTAACATTATTTGTTTTATATAACATTGTGACGGGCATCTTATGATTTGGTTTTATTGATTGATTTCAATGATGTATGTTTCTGATTGATGGATTGCTAAAGTGTATTTTTTAAAATGTTTATTATATATATATTTTTTATTATTATGATTGAGTTCTACTGAATTAATTGATTGAAGACGGAAGATTGCCTATTAATTTTTCATTTTAGCTCAGGAGAGTTGTCGTGGGAGGCTTTTTTTCATTTTCTTTAAAGTCATAGTTATAGCGATGCAGCAATCTCTTATATTTGATGCTCAAATCAGAAGATCAGAACTAGGGTGATTAATTCCAACTTCCTATTAAAACAAGTTTTAGTTGATGAAATTGATATGATCATGTTGTGACCTTCATCAATCGTGCTTATTAAGCAGATTGTACCTAGAGCATTAAACCCAGGCATTCAAATGATGAAATCCTCCATTCCATCGCAATAGGATGGAAAAGAAATCAAATTTTGATGGACTACATCAATGAAGTTTGTGATTTGGAATGCCAAAATCAGTGAGCATACATCCATGGACAACACACAGTTATAAGTTTCATTAAAATATTTAAAACTAAGAATTACAATCGAACGGCAGATAACAATAGCAGTAAGCATAGGGAAATTGAAATGAACTTTTGCGGGTTTTGTTCTGCACTGAAAGTACTTTGCTATATGGTGATAATATAGCATTTTTTGTTTGCCGTCCTGGCTTTAAATGTTGATAACTCAACTAGATTTAGGATTTTTCTCTTTTTTCTTTTTTCTTTTTCTTTCCCCCCTCAAAGAATCTAAACAATTTTACAATTATTCTAGCTTATGAGGTCACAAGTTTGAACCCGACGTGCCCCTTTCCTTTTATGTGTAATAGTCCATAGCTTCTCAGTGGAATTTGGTTTATATCTATTATATAGCCTTTTGCCATCCTTATATGTAGTTGGCCTCATGCCCGACTTATTTTTATGGCCTTGCCATACTTTCAATTAATAAATTAATTGGGATAGGCTTCTATCTTTTACAAAAATGGAAAAAAAAAATGTAACCTTGCTAGTTACTAGTTAGCAATTGGTTCCTGAATAAACCGTACACACATTGAGGATAGAAGAAAGTAGATATTAGGGAGTTTGATCTAGTGATTCCTATTATAGATACATAATATTGGATATGATTATCATAGTTAATGAAAAATATTACTATTGCATATTGGTTTATTTCTTGTTATCACAATGCATTGCAAGGAAAATTAATCATTGATAGAAGAAACATTTTAGCTTAAGTTGGTTGAATTTTTTAGAGGCTAGTTTGCCATTAGCCATAGAAGAAGGCGTCTTTTATTGGAAAGCAAGTAGTCTGTTGTTGGTTCTACTAGGGACAACCATTTTGTCTTTCTACATCAATATATTTTTCAATTATCCAATGTAGGATTAAACCCAGTACTTTCACGTGCTTTTCCACAAGGTCCATGAACCAAGATATAACTCAAACACATTTGGCATTGTGTGGGAGTTCCTGGTTTCTCACGTTGAATATTAATCATGGTGCAAGTTGCCATGACATTTGGGAGCCACTAACCACTTAAAAAAACTCTATTTTAATCATATCACTTGTTAGAGAGTATGGAATCAATGTGAAACAAAGTTGGGTTAGATACACATTTGATCAAATTTGTTTCAACCCAAAGAGTTTTAAGTGGTAAACCTATGAGAGAGGATCCACTACTTGATATCCCACACCGTTATATTTTTCAGATATCTGATGTGGGTCTAAACCCAATACACATGTTTAAGATGTTTCACAGCGGCTACAGCGGTCACCATGCCCCGTATTATTTTTTTGCTTAATTTTTTTATTTCTGTTTGAGATTTCTCTAGCCCCATCATATGATAAACTTAAAATCTAGTACAGTCTGCCAGGTATATTAAGATATGGTACCCTTGAAGTTTATGTTTCAATTACTTCGAAAGCATGATAAATCAATACTTGATTATAAAGAATGAAAATGTGCTGTCAAACTTATTTAGTGATTCTATAAAATTTTCAACAAATAGTATATTTAGAAACAAACCTTTATGCTTGTGCTTGGTTTCAATGGACAATAGATCCTTGATGATTTTTTCTGAATTTTGGCCTTTGTTTGACCTTTAACGGCCTCTTTGATTAAGGTCTTCTTTGTGGGGGTTTTTCAATATATAATCTAGTTTATATAAGTTAAAAAGTTGTGTTGATGTGGTTTAGTGATGTTGCATCTGGTGACTACTTCATGTTTAGCATGTTCTTCATCAAAATTTATCATGCTGTTTTGAATTTTTTTTTATTCTATTTTAGATTGCAGTTCCTTTGAAGGCAATTTTGTAGTCATATGCTCTATTGGATTTACCCACCGTGGAAAAAATGATATTGACGTCATCTGTCAAAATTCTGATAAATTGTGTTTACAGATTTTAGCAATTATTTGCATAAAATTTTTTTAAGCTTCTTGGTTGTTTTTATGCACAATTTTAATTTGCCTTTTTGCAGGATATTAACGAGGAGTGGATATCTGATAAAACTCGTTTCTGCTATGATGGGTTAAAGAGACAGAGACTGAATGACCCTATGATTCGTGATAATAATGGTAGATTTAAGTCAGTGACGTGGCGTGATGCCCTTTCTATTGTTGCTGAAGTTATACATCAGGTTAAGCCTGAAGAAATTGTCGGAATTGCTGGTCAGCTATCTGATGCGGAATCCATGATTGCTCTGAAGGACTTCTTGAACAGAATGGGATCAAACAATGTGCTGTGTGAAGGGAATGGCTCGAGTCCTCAGGCTGATATACGGCCTAGTTTCCTTTTGAATTCAAACATTGCTGGCCTTGAAAAGGCAGACCTTTTTCTCATAGTTGGAAGCCAGGTATCATTCTTTATCATTGCCTTTGTTGGATGCGTTTTTTTGTTTCTTCTGTTGCCTCGCCACTTCATGCTGATATTTTTCAGTTTTTCCATTTATTTCTTTATGTGAATCTATTCTGTAGATATCTCCTGTTTTTTAAAGGGGCATTTACATACACACCACCAAATTCCTATGTATTTACATATCTAACACCTGGACCTTGCTTTCTTATATCTATACCACCCAAATCTTTCATATCACATAAAGATGGCAACATTTTAACTTAAGAAAAGCGAATACATATTTTCATGCATAAGTAAGGTGGTATATGTAGAAAATGAACTTTAAGTGTTAGATATGTAAGGAATTGAGTGGTATGTATGTAAATCTTTTTTTTCAATTATTTTTCCTGTAATTTTTGTTCCATAGAAAAAATTGGGAAGACTTTGTTTCCTCTCATTAATGCTAATAGTTAGTGCAAACCTTTTGAAGACCTATCTAAATTCATTTAGTTGTACGTTGTTTTTCTATACATTTTTTAAAAAAGTTGACTGCTTGATTTTCAAATTCCTCCAGACACTACTGATGAGATGGTATAATTTATTTTGATGCACTACAATATATAGGTGGATCTCCTCTAGTTACTTATTAGTTACCCATATATACAGACGATTAAATGATAAATTGGTAAGTCTTTTTGTTCTATTTGCTTCCCCTTATGCCTGTTAGTCTCTTACAATATTTGAAGGATTTTGAGTGTTTTCTCTGTCAATAGACTGAGGGTAGAAACCTGGAAGGTTTAGCATCTTGAAATTTATGTTTAAACATGAAGTGTAACAACTTTGCATATGTTTTTGATCTATGATATGTATGTTGATTCTTGGAATATGGTACAGTAAGGCTTGCTTGGAAATTTTATTTCAATCAACCTTTACTTTGACCATGTTGGATGTGAATTTGTAAGGAGTGAGGCTGGTTCAGTTAAGTTGTTTTTGACAATTTTCTTGATTTATAATTTGTCCTTGAGTTAACCTTACTGTATTGAGTTATCTCAATCTCATGTTATGGATTAAAATGGGAAGGATTTTCTTGGTAGATTGACAGATTATAACTAGATGGTTATCATGATTGGAAAACTTCCCTTCTTTTTATTCCTCAGTTGAAAGAATGTGCTACCTATTTATATACACTCCAATCTTTATAGATTGGGAATATTTCTAATATAGAAAAGTCCTATAATTAGATCTCTCTTAATTAGGTTACTTAATGTACACACTTCTTAAAAACAACCATTATATTTAATACTTCCCCCTCAGGCTGAAGCATAGATATTTTTCATGCCCAACTTATTACAAATATAAGTGACTCTAGCTCTATTAAGGGTCTTTGTAAAGTTGTTTCCTAGTTCTTACATGAGTTGTAGAAATCAAATTTTATTGAATATTTTCACGAATAAATAACAATCTATCTCAGTGTGCTCAGTTCGTTCATGAAAAATAGCGTTTGAATCAATATGAATTCCAACTTTATTATCACACCACAACTTTACTGGAATTGTCATCTTAAAACCCATTTCGGTTAGGAATTGAGAGAACAATTTCCTCGAAACTTGTGCCATTGCTCGATACTCAGATTCTACTTGATTGTTACATTTTGTTTCTTATTCTTCCATTAGACCAAATTATCACCAACAAAAACACAATATCTAGTAATAGATCTTTAATCAATCTTGGAATTTGCCCAATCTGCATAAGAGAAACATTCAATATTTCTATGCTCATGATTCCAATATAGAATTCTTTTTCCAGAAAATCCTTTGAGGTAACATAATATCTGTTCTAGAGCTGACAAATGATAGGTTGTTGCAGAAGAAATAAACTTATAGTGCTAATTGAATACGCAATGTCAGAGCTAGTTACTGAAAGGTAGTTTAATTTTTCTACTTTCTATATTGTTCAAGATCATTAAAATGCTTTCCATCCTTGTTAAGTTGCTCACTATGAAGTATCATACATGGTTTGACTCATATTCTTTCGTTTATGCCAAAGAAGATACCTTTTTTGCTCCTTGATATCTCAATCCCCAAGAAGTACTTCAAGGAACCCAGATCTTTAGTATTGAATTTATTTTGAAGAAATGATTTCAATAATAAGATTCCGTGCACATTGCTTCTAGTAATAATAATTTCATTAAACATACACCATCAATAGAATGATCCCAGAAACAGATTGCTTGTAGAATACAATGTGATCTTTTTTATTTTTCTGCATCCCAAACTAATTTACTGCTTGACTAAGAGTACATAGCAGCTTTGCCCAGAAATTATTGTGGGGAAGCTGTGTTTTTTTTTTTATATAGTTGTGCAGCAGCTATTTATGATAATTTTTTTTTAATTTTATATTGTTGTGTTGTTTATATGAGAATTAGTTCAGGTTGAATAACTCATATATGAAAATAAAAATTCTATTTAGAATCCTAAAAGCTCATAAGTTCAAATATTTCACCTAGAACTGACATCTCACTTAACAGTGAGTAACACAACAATTAAAATAAAAAATAAAACTTTTAAAACAGTAATTAACATTATCATAATATTGAATTTGAAATGCAGACGATCAATTTTATGAGATAACCCTTTGACGTTAAAAATTAGATTTTTTGAACTACTTGGGATTATTGAATCATGAGATCTTCTCCATTGCCCCAACTATTCTTTATTAACTCATGAAACCTAAGCATTAAATCTAAGCCTCAAATGAAGCCTAAGCAATTTTCGTAATAATGAATACTTTTTTGTGAGCGGGATGGATACTTGAGCATCCATAGGAGTTCTCATTTCTGAATAAACTTCTTTGTGAGTGGGATGGATACTTAAGCATTCATAGGAGTTTTCATTTCTAAATGAACTTGCGTGTAAATATTACAGAATACTTCTACAATTTGAGGAGGCACGTAGAAAAGAGAATTTTTGTGAGAGATTGAAATATATTGCCGATAACCACGTAGATTGACAATGATAATATGGATCTATCATCGGTGGCATGGATCAATCATGATTGAGATGTGGATCTATCACAACAAGAGGATTGGAATTATGATTGGGATCTATTGCGAGTGAGGTAGAAATTATAGAGAGAGAATCGATTTGAAGAAGTAAAGGATTCTGTAAATAAAAAAAAATCAATGTGGCTTGTGTTGAAAGGAGGGGACCCTGTCGGTGTTGTAATAGTGTACTCAAAAGAACAAAAAAAAAAAATTGTGAGAGTGCTCAGATTTTAGAATTTTATTTCTTTCAATGTAAATAATAATATTTTTTTTAGTTTGAAAATAATAAATTTATAATTAAACCAAAATCTATATTTTTTTCATGCCAGAACATAAAAAATGAAGGAAAGAAAAACTTAAATAATAAAATGAAAAAAACATTCCCATAAAGCTCCTTAGTGACGACAACTATTTTGACCACTTTGCGTTCATTTTGGAACATTTGCATGCACCACTAAAATCATATTTTTTTATTTATTGTACATCTAACTCTGTTTTTACTGCTACAATGCTGATTTTTTAAAATGTGCCATGAATATCATCAATTTTGTTTTTGTTTCTCTTGCTCCATTAAAATCATATTTCTCTGGTAAGGCTAAGCCAGAACCAATCCCCAACTTCAGTCTCAAGGTGAAGTGACCTCTACTTGGGAGACTAACAACCAATTAGGAGAAGATAGACTGGAATCTTGCATTAGTTGATGTGAATATTTATATGGCAAAGCAGAGGATAACTAGAGGCCTTTGATTCTCTGTTGCTTAGTGACATGCGTAATCAATGGGTGATGTGCCAATATGTCAATGTTTAAATTTTGAGAAGCGACATCGCTCGTTTGCTTTGGTGCTGTTAGCTGTTCTCAAAATGTCTCCTCGTAAGAACTTTGAATGAGGCATATGATATATGTTTGTGTTTTACCGACCATATGATATTAAGGAGTATGAGGACAAGGTGAAGATGATATTTGACGTGCAGAGGGTGGCAAAGGGATATGTTCAAGCGTTTGTTAAGGATGGTATGTTAGTGATGGTAATCAATTCGGGGGCGGAGAATTTTGGGTGATGGAAGGAGGAGGTATGATAGAGAAGCTGCTCTAGAATCTAAGATTACTTGAATTAATGAGCCAAGGCGTGTAGATGCAAGGGGAGAAAGAATGGTGGAGTAGTTTGAGAATCTAAAAAGAAATGATTTAATTAGTTTAGAAGAATAGAAATTGGTGGAAATTCTCCCTGTTCTCATTTTAATGGGGTGAAAGAAGAAAAATCATTGTGATGTTTTTAAAGGAATTCATTGGTTTATTAATTAATAATATGAATAAGATGTTAATTATGTGAATGGATATGATTTCCATGGCATGTATTTAGAAGCCCCTTTTCTTTTTTTTTCTTAATTTTGAAAACGAAATAAGTTGTTTATTGAAATTTTAAGACGTGTAAGTGGATAATTATGTTTTAAAAACATGCAAAAATGGTTGTTTTGTTTGATTTTTTAGATATTAATCGGGAAAATTAGGGATTAACTAGTGTCACAGTTATGATCATTATGGTTGAATGGCATCAAAGTATATTGATTAGGTATACTAGTTAATTAATTAATTAACTAATTGTTTAATTAGACTAACTTTTATTAGTTATGATTTTAATTTTTCCTTGAGAATTAGGGTTTTAATTGCGCTCACTAAGTTTAGATTATCTTTGTAAGTATAATAAATTAGCTTATGATAATATATTAATGGATTTGTTAGCTATATGATAGTTAATTATCTAAATTGATTGAGGATGAATTAGGATTCAATTAAGACTTGTGAAGTTTTGTATCAAATATTGATAATTAAACACTAGTAATTAGTATTGATAATTAATAAGTCTTTTAGGATAAATAAAAATTAATAAAAGCATTTGTGAAGTTTGTGGGTATTTATTAGTATTAATTATGTTAATCAGTCCTAGGATAATTAATCCATTCATTACTAATAGTAA